CTTTTTATAATTAAAAATAATAATACTATCAAGCTAATTATATTAACTATAATGATTATAAAAATATATTCTTAATTATTAAACTATTTTATATAAGATTATCTATATTTTTCTAAGATTATAATAACCTTAATATATAAAAATATATTTATTAAAAACCTAATCTTATCAAAATTATAAGTATTATTATTAAAAAGTTTATATTTATTTTTTATATTTTATATAAATATAAACTATCTATAATTATATTTAGATCTTTATCAATAGCTATCTACACTAGCAGTGCCCTCGTCCTTCCCAGTACAACAACCCTATATCTTCACAGTCAATCTCAAGGCCACGAGGTGGGCAACGCATTATTGAACCTAAACACATTACTTGGGTCATACTTCTTCTTCAGCGCCGCCAGCCTAGGCATATTCCTAGCCCCATAGATGCTCGCAACGCCCTCGTCACCATGCGCATAGCTCACAAGCGTCACCGTCCCGTTGCCAGGATATCCACTCGTCGCCGACAGTAACCTGCGGATATTCTGAGCCGTCGTATCCGCCGCAGCCTGGGTCGCCGCATCAGCGCCCTCACTCCACGACATCGAGATGATGTAGTTCCCAGTGGCGTCCCGCCAGGGATAGACTGTGGAGCCATCATCCTTCGCAAGCATATCCTGGTTGGCGAAGTTCTCGAAGTTGATGATGCTGCTCTGGGCATCCGGGTACGCAGCGTACAGCGCGCCCATCTCTTCAAACGCAGCTTGCATAGACGAGGCGCTGATGTTGCGCACGGTCGACGTGTAGATGTCCAGAATGGAACCCTTGGCACAGAGCTCCGCGTCGACGCCAAAAGCTCCCTCAGTGAGAATGTTCCCGTACGTAAGGTTGCTGAATACAGCCGAAGTCGGATTAAGCGCCAAAACAGGGGCGGCCACCTTCTCGGCCTCAGCCTGAGTCCCCATGTAGACCCAGTTAGCGAGGAGTTGGGGCCCACCGCTTGCAGAATCGTAGATCGCGAGGCTGATGAGACCCAGCTTGGCGGGGAGGCTGCAGCCCGGGCCGCCGGCGAGCGATTCGATCACGTTGAAGTAGGCCGCTGATTTGTTGGCGGGGAAGACCATGTCCAGGTTAACGATGCCGCCGCCGCCGTTGACGCCCGGGATGATGTGGTTGAGCTTGTAGGTTGCTTGTGTTACGATGCCGAAGTTGGCGCCGGCGCCGCGGATGGCCCAGAACAGGTCGGGATTGGAGGTTGCGGACACGGTCAGGACTTGGCCGGTGGCTGTCACGAGGCGCACGGACTGGAGGTTGTCGACCATTAGGCCGTAGATGCCGCTGTAGCGGCCCACGCCGCCGCCGAGGGTGACGCCCACCAGGCCGGGGCAGGATGATGAGCCGGTTTCTGCATGGGCGGGTCAGTAAGTCGACTTACTCGGTCTGGTCTGTTGAGGGGTGCGAGTAACTCACGTAGTTCGAAACCAGCCTCGTATGCGGGGCCAACGATGCTTTCGACGACGACACCACCGCCCACAGTAAGTGTGCCGGCCTTCTTGTCAATGCTGTAACTGTCGAGCTGGCTGAGATCGATGGAGAGGCCATTCTGCATCCTTCCCAATGTGGTGGTGTATCCATGGCGACCGCCCGTGGCAAGAAAAGCGATCCCATTGGTCGTGGCCAGTTTTACCTACCCAGGGTATTAGCGAAGGAAACACTCCGTGTGTAGGTGAGAACGGAAGGAAAACGAATGACTATGACCAATACGACACTGACGGGAGTGACAGGAAGTCTTCCACTTACCAGCTTGACAACGTCTGCCTCATTGCCTACTGTGACCGAAGCAATGAAGGTAGGCTCATCGAAAACAGTCCATCGATCAGTTGCGTTAGTGAAGGCGGAAGAGCCAGGGAACGAGATGGTCAGGTTCGGAGACCAGTTATTGGCCGAGTTGGTGAGGAGCGTTTTGAGATCCGTGGCAGAGCAGAAGCCAAAGCCAGCGATGGAAAGAAAAATAGACCGAGTGAGCTGCATGATGGGTACTTGAAACAGATGATGTGAACGGTATGCAGAGAGAACGTTACACAGCAGACGTTGTCTCAACGTCGTAAGGATAGTTACCTTTATGCGGTGGAATCAACCTGAGGGGTGCAAGCAGATGCCTCCTGTCGTGTCGCCTGCCAGGTGAAAAACGTGGCAGGGTTGTAAACTGAACAAGCCGAATGGATGGATGAAGATCGGCTGGGTGGGAGGGATAGATGTACTGTAATATAACGCAGGAGAGAGGAACATGTGGATGCAGATCTGATTGCTTCTCTTAAATACTTCTCTTGGGCTTCCAGAATCTCTGACAGCCCTACAGCCTGATGTTACGCAATGCAGGTCCGAAGTGATACTATACTAGGTAAGCAGCAAGGATGCTTGTAAACACCAGGCGATTTTGCTGCCTTGCTGTGCAAATTACGAGTTTTCGTCCATGGGAAATATTACGTCTATGGCTCCGCGTGACCCGAGAGATGAGTATGGCTGAGTAAAAAGCCTTATGCCATGCTATTTTAGGGTTTTCTGCCGTATTTACGAGGCGCAGGCCGGACTTCAGGTCTGGAGGCTGTTCAATATACACGCCACTCCGTGCAATGGCGCCGGAGTACGGAGTATTTTCAGCTTACCCCTGACGCCCTCAAGGGCTGAGCGCCGTTCCAGCGCGCCACCGTTCCAGACGATACTTCAAGCTCTTCACAAA